ACATTCCTCCACAAAATTACATACAACGCCATGAAATATTTATCTTTAAAAAGTAGTTAGTAAAATGACAAATTGCTTTTTGTATCAATTCAATTGGGCGTTTTATGAAAATACGTATGAATATTTGCTTAAATAATGGTATTTCATTGTTCGAAATGCTTTATAGTTATTCAAAATTATTTTTGAATGGAAATTCACGTTTATAGGTACAGACAGCGATTAAAACGTTATCCATAAATCACATTCTGATGGTATATAGAATATTTTTTCACCGCGATTCACGGTTCGATGATCAAATGGAATTCATTTGGAACTAAAACGAAAATTACTGTAACTATGCACGGTGTATATAGTAATATATCTATATATATACTAGCAAACCCGACGAACTCCGTTTCGCCACCAGATGGTTTCGTGAGAAAGATGAAGAAAATTTTTGTTTGTTTTATATTTGAAAAGGAAAAATTTGATTTTATTACACAACAGTAATGAATTTATTTCGATTACAAAAATTAAGTGTTTTTTAGTTGAAGTTCTCTAAGTAAATGAAAGTGAATCCGCAAATTATCCGTTTCATTGAAGTGCTCCTTGGTAAACCACATTTTTTGTTTTTTGGTCTGGCGTTAACACAAACAAAAACGGATGGTTTTCCAACTCGTGAACAGGCAACGTATAACTGCCCATGTGAAAAACAATGATTTTCTAAATAATCTATTTGAAATTTATCCCGCAAACACTAAGCGATTGGCCTTGGACTTGTTAATTGTCCTTGCGAACGCAAGGCGAACTGGAAGTTGCAATCGTTTGAAGTCAAATGGAAGACCAGTCGGAATCATTGGTATGTCACCAAATCGCCAGCAATTTTTGATTGAATGGTGAAATTCAGTGCGTGTACATCATTATTCTTTGCGGCAAGAATTGCTCGTTGACTTAACCAAGCATAATTCTGATAATTCTCACTAATGTCATTACTCGAATTTTTAATTAGCCCGAGATGTTATCTGAATGTCATTACAAGAGAATGAACTCTGGCAAAATTTATAAACGTTAATATATCAATAAATAACATGTGAAATTCGTTATAATTTAGATAATCGATAGAAATCAATGCGATAATCAAATAGAAATCAATGACAATAAAAAATATAGTTCCTTCCCTGATTCCAGTTCCTGAGTCTAATTCCCTGACTCCAAATTAATATAGAAGTTTACAAGAATTTGTATTTACATATATTACCAATATTGCTTCTAATTAAAGAAAAATAATATCCTCGACATAAAATGTTTGAAATACAAAAACCAATATAGTCGAACCAGATCGAGTTGGTTGGTGTTAGGGGTATATACAAAAACCGTATAGTAGTTTTAGCCGGGTTATCGAATTTTATATTAGAAAATTCATTTTTTGTTCGAATATCCTGTAATTTATCCGCAAATTTAGTGTAATTTAAAGCAGTATTTGACTGAATTTATTTATTGCTCAATTTTATGGATAGTAAAGAAAATTATTTTAATTTTAATTAGTAGAACTAAAAAATAATAGTTTATTATGATTAAATAACTTTGAGATTAATTATTCGTTATTCATGCATCATTTTCACATATAAGAATGAAAATATTTTTATG